TGCCCAAATCTTCTCTGCACCCCACCCGCAGTCGCTGCCCTTGGTCAGGGCAGATCAGAGTTTAGAGATGATCTACAGAGTTCACCTCCCATACTGAGCCAGGAGGGGGGTAGGAGGCATCTTACCCACTCCACTGGTCACTCGCCAACCATCTGCTCGCTGTTCTCAGGCACTGCTCTGCAGGCCATTTGTCACCCTTCACTGCTGCTGCTCTACTGGCTGTTCCTCTTGCCTCTCTATTGCCACCCTGCTGGCTGCTCATCACATCTTCTACCAGCTGTGGTAGATTTGGCTCTGGGTCAAACCCAGTGATTACAGCTCTCAGGCTATGTCTACACTGCAGGAATCTTTTTGTGGAGAGATCTTTCGCAAAACCTTTTTGCACAAGAGCACATCCACACTGAAAAAATGCATCGGAAAAGCAATGCGCTTTTGTGCAAGAGAGTGTCCAGACTTCATGGACGCGCTCTCACAAGAAAGCTCTGATTGCCATTAACAGAATGGCCACCAGGGCATCTGTGCTTCTTTCGATAGACTGTTTTGTGCAAAAAAACCCTGTTTCCTGTCCATACATACCTTTTTGCACAAGAGCTCTTGCACAAAAAGGAGTTATTCCTCGTAGAAAGAGGAATACCTATACCGCAAAGGCAAGGAGTAACAGATCTCCAGGAGCTATTTTTCAGGAAGCTGAAGAGTAGAAAAAGAATGACTCAGAGTATTTCTCCCCTCCACACACATGTGGATCTGCTTTGAAAAGCAATGAATAATATGAAAGGCAGCAGCCTGGAAACCATTCCTTGCTTGCTGCCTAACTCCATTCCCAGGGTGCCATCTTTCCCATGCTCATGGCAGTGGATATATTTCATTTCCTTGTTGCTTTTCAGTACTAACAGTAAATAAACTGAAATGCCTTTTCCCTGGTCAGTTTCCTAAATGTGCTTGCTGCCCTTTCTCATCCAGCATGCCTAGGAACATTGGCGCTCTTCCCAGCAGTGGGAGAAACACTGAAACAGTAAAAACAACAGACCTCTGGCATGACTGTCCAAAATGATTTTACACATGTGAATAAAAATGCTCAGGTCTCAGTTATGAATCTCAAGTCCTGCAGGAAGTGTCAAACAGCACTTAAAAGTGGGGATGATATTTTTCTACCTCACAAGGTTGTTGGGAAGATATTACAACTGTGCTATGTATAGCTATCTCTCTTCTCTCTCGTGTTGGGGATGTGTGTCAGAGGCAAGCTGCATCCCCTTGTGTTGGACTTCACGAGGGAGAATGAGCATTCTCTGGAATCTAATGGAAAGGAGAATAGTGTAAAGAAATTTTCAAACTGCAAATGTTCAGAGGCATTTGTATAGCTAGAACATGAAGGTTTTGAGGAGGACTATGTGCAATCTGAATTGTCTAAGAAGGAATTTGGAAATAACTATAAATATGAGTTTTAATTCTACTTTTGACACTACTTTTGGATTCTACAACCTCCTAAAACTAAATCAAATAATTTCCTAATGTATTTACTGATTTAAGTCCAAAAATAGATTTTCTTTAAAGAACAAATATAGCATACATAATAAAATAAAATAAACAATCAGCCATAAAAATAACATTTTCTTTCATTTGAACTTCACCAAAACAAAACAAAAAATAAACTTGGTTTTGATAAAATGAACTTAAACTCATTTAAATTAACATGGAATAAAAGAATGAATTTCTTAAACTCAGTTTACCATAGAAATGTGTGGCCTCGGGGTGCTGTAGAAAATATATCAGTATTCTATGTTACAGGTATTTTGTCATCATTATCATCAGGAAAAGATGATATACAAATGATTTTCACCCCATATTACAGAGGAAAGGCAACCTAAACATACTGTTTAAGTGAATAGTAAAGACTTACCATAGCGGGATCTCACTCACTCCTGAACAAATTTTCCCATAAGTGGTTGTTCTCATTGTGAATATATGTATTCCCTCTACTGAATAATGGTCAAGTTCCAACACAATGCTGCTGTTCAGAAATACATTTTGGTATTCTGTTTGAAGTGTACCACACTTCTCCGTGTTAGAATAGTGATAGAAATGTAGCCGTGTTAGTCTGGTGTAGCTGAAACAAAATACAGGACTATGTAGCACTTTAAAGACTAACAAGATGGTTTATTAGATGATGAGCTTTCATGGGCCAGACCCACTTCCTCAGATCAAATAGTGGAAGAAAATAGTCAGAACCACATATACCAAAGGATACAGTTAAAAAAAAATGAACACATATGAAAAGGACAAATCACATTTCAGAACAGACTTAAACCTGTCCAACACATTATCAATAAATGACAGCCTATACTGGAACAGGACACTAAACTCCAAGAAGCTCTGGGAGACAGACCCATAGTCTCCTAGGGTGGGTCTAGACTACAGGGCTTTGTCGACAGAAGTGGACTTTTGTCGACAAAACTATACCTGCGTCCACACTGCCTTTGAGTTATGTCGACATAACGTCGACAAAACTCAGCAGTTTTGTCGACGTATGTAAACCTCATTCTATGAGGAATAACGCCTTTTATCGACAGAGTTCTGTCGATAGAAGGCATTATTGCATCTACACTGTCCTTTGCGTCCACACTGTCATGTTGACCAGACATTAGACAGGATCACAAAGAAAAAACAGTTTCTTGCCATTTCAACCAGAAAGGACACTGTCTCAATGACCTAATCACATGCATCTTACTTCAGAAGACTTTCAAATCTGCACTTGAAAGGGAATCCTCTGAACTGGCATTCATGCTAAAATTTGACACTCTCCGCAGGGGGCTGAACAAAGACCCCAACTACCTTACCCATTACAAAGATAGCTTCCCCAATTATCACCTCTAATACCATTAACTCACAGACATCTCCCCTTCCCCACCTCTAATATCATCAACTCACAGGCATTTACCTTCCTTTCCCTCCCCTCCCCCCCGCATCCCCCTTCTGTTCTGAAATGTGATTTGTCCTTTTCATATGTGTTCATTTTTTTAACTGTATCCTTTGGTATATATGGTTCTGACTATTTTCTTCCACTATTTGATCTGAGGAAGTGGGTCTGGCCCACGAAAGCTCATCATCTAATAAACCATCTTGTTAGTCTTTAAAGTGCTACATAGTCCTGAATTTTGTTTCTCCGTGTTAGAAGTTTGCCTTTCTGTCTGGTGTCTGGCTGCAAAACATGTCAAGATGAAGTATCACATAGAATGAGAGAGAAACACACTAGCTCACATAGTTTATATTTGTCATTTGTTTGGTTGACTTTCCTTAATTGCTTAAAAGTAACCCATGTTGATACCACACATATTGTTATATGCATGGAAGCCTACCATATATTAGGTTGCAAGAAGAAAACCTGAATTTCTCAGGGCAGGGCTTTGGATACTGCACCTTTAAAAATTAAAGACAGATAGGAAGATTTTTTTTAAAAATTCCCTTTACGTGTTTGTTTGTCACAGACTTTCTTCCTAGATATCTCCACCTCTATGTCCATGCAGGGATGCAGCTTAAACCCATTAGTGGGCACCGTGGTTTCCTCCGGCTTATCTAGTACTGTGATTGTAATTCAAACATTCTCCTGCTCTCCTCCCCCAAGCTAATGAGGACCAGCATATACAACTGTGGTGAAGACACATTTGCCACTTAAATTTCAGAGATATGAATGAGGTCCCATGGAGCACAACACAGTCAAAAGGTATTCTGGATATAGCATTTTTTCTGTCCTATTCACAAACCTAAAATCCTCTAAGAGGAACATAGAATAAAAATAGACTCTACAGAAGTCTACAGCAAAGCCAACTGTTTGGAATGCTAGCAGGGAAGGTATGCTATATTATGATATAGTTAATACTATATTTAAGGCTATTCTTAATAACACTTACATGTATATAAACTTTTCAGAGGCAATAGGCTGTCTCAAGCTGTCATGGAGTCTGGAAGCTAAGGGAAAAAAGTGAATCTTGGCTGCAGGATATTCCATATATATATGTATAGAATTTCCAAACCTCCCTTTCCCTTCTTTTCTCTAGGTCCAAACAAGTCAAACATTTGTCAGACTTTTCCAGCTGGTAAGTTTAAAATGACCTCCTCTTCTGCTAAGTTATCTTGACAAAAGCAGAGGGAATATTGTCATTAAAATGGATAAAGGCCTATGCATTCATGTCTTGCTTAGTATGTAAACTACAGATGTAAGCTCCAGTCCTGGCAGGAATTGCACACCTGCGTAATTCTAGGCCATATGAGTAAACTGACTGCTTTCAATGGGAGCCCTCACAGTGCCCGTGAAGTAAGCATGTGAGCTAGTCTGCAGAAATGGAGCCTAACTTCTTTCACTACAGTTTCACCCTTGAAACAGCAAAAGATCAAATTAACTTTGTCATCCAGGCTTTTTCTTCAACACAAAGCCTTTTCTCTCCACCACAAATGCAGGTGACTAATTTTAGGAGAAATAACAGACTACAAAAGCCAAAATGACAGAAAACTGTCTCACAAAAAGCCTATTCTGTCTAAGTGTTGCTGTAAAAGGACATGATGATTATTCCGGAATGCGTTTCATGAGTTACTGAACAGTTCAAGGTAGAGTTCCCTGATCTTTGGACTAGCTTAACACTACTAAATGCAGGACCTGAGAGAAGGGGAGCAAAGGTGACTTCATAGATTCCTGAGTCTGGCACTGACTGAGGAACTAATATTGCAGCCCAAAGTAGCTGGAATTTGTTTGCTGGTCATTCCCCTACTGTCTTGCTACATTGCCTGCGATGGATGTTGCTCAGTGATAGATTAGAGCTGGTTCATTGGTTTTATTCCTCCTTGGGAGTCCTATGTAGCTAGATATGACAATCAGTGTCCAGACACAATAGGAAAACAGAAGGTCCAAACCCTAAGGATAACCAATGAAATCACCTGATTGTATATTGTCTTTGTATTGTACAGATACAGCTAGCAATGCCTGCTATGAAAGCTTGTATTGTTCTGGACTTGATGGCCATTATGAGCTGTGTCTGGAGAGCTTGGACATGAATTTATGTATTTGTGCAGAAAACTGTGCCCATAAACTTCAGCTCCACTTCATAGAAGGGTAGGGAGCAGTTCCAAAGGCAACTTTGTCTCTGTTTGTTTTTTGTAGCTGTTTATTCTCCCAGACCATTTCATATTTGATTCAGTGGCTTTTCTCTTTTTTGTTTATGTTTACCTCAAGCAGGTTTGAGAGGCAAAGGTAGCTTGCTTTCTGGGTGATGATCCAGATAAAAATGGTCCAAGGATCTGGTGGTTAAGAACTTGAGGAGTACAGATTTTGGGACACTCAGGACCAGGAGGGCTACTGGTGTCACTCTGCAAAGAGAAAGTAGGTTGGTGAGAGCCATGGTCAGACTTTATGCTTGTGGGTGGCTGCTGCTGGTGTCAAGGATCTGAACCCTGAAAGTACCCTGAAGTTAGAGAGCAGGTGATAACAGAACCCCTTACCAATGTGGGTAGCAAAGGGTGATTACATTGGGCCTGTAATGTTAGGCAGAAAGGAGCAAGGTGATAGAAATTAGTAACATGCTCTGAAAAATAGGGCCAGATTAACAGAAGTATTGAGGCAGCACCTGGTGGGATTTACAAAAGAGCCTAAGTAGGGTAGATGTCTATATCCCATTCTCTTTTAAGGATTAGGCTTCCAAATTGATTAGTTGCCAGATCTGCTTAGGTGCTTATGAATCCCACTAGGTATTGAACTGCATCTTAAGGCTCCTGAATACTATTGTTAATCAGCTCCATAGTGCTTTAAATGCTACCTTTTTATCTTCAATAGTTCACATGGAATTTTAGCAAGTAGCATCAGTTCTGTCATCTGAGATCAATTTGCTGAGGTGAGGGGGAGGAGGGTGAAAGGATGGTTCCAGTAGTAAGGAGTGATTTAGTGCTTAATGACTAGTATCTCATTCATCTTGTTGGAGGTACTGCTGTAAGCCAGCCCTGCCCTTTTCTTCAGTTCTGGACAATTTGGTGAGTGAGGTGGCACTTGAATCCAACAATGGATACACAGCTTTCTTTGGCTAGAGAAAGTCTGTTGATTAGCTTATTCTTAACATTAAAAGATCACTTGGATGAAAATCTTTGAAGAAAAAAGGTTGGAATTAGGGCTTTTGATTAATTGTAGTTAACTGATGTCCTTAATTTAAAAAAGTAAACATGATTTAAGAAATTAATCACAATTAATCACAGTTTTAATTGCACTGTTGCTAGAATATCAATTGAAATGCATTATATATTTTTTGTTTTTCTACATTTTCAAATATATTGCTTTCTTTTGCAACACAGAATGCAAAGTGTACATTATTGATTTTTATATCATAATTTTAATACAAATATTTGCACTGTAAAAATGACAAAACATTATTTTTCAATTCACCTTGTTTTATTACCATGAAAGTGTAACTTACAAATGTAGGTTTTTTTGTTACACAACTGCATTCAAAAACAAAACTATATAAAATTTGAGCACCTACAAGTCCATTAAGTCCTATTTGTTCAGCCAATCACTAATATGAGTTTGTTTACTTTTACAGGAGATAATGCTGCCTGCTTCCTATTTACAATATCATCTGAAAGTGTGAAAAGTGTTCACATGGAACTTTGTAGCCAGTGTTGCCAGGTATTTACATGCCAGATATGCTCAACATTCGTATGCCTCTTCGTGCTTCATGCTGACCACCTTTCCAGAAAGCATTCTTTCATACTGAAGATACTTATTAAAACAAATTAATTTAATTTGTGACTGAACTTTGCAGGGGAGAATTGTGTGTTTCTTGCTCTGTTTTACCTGCATTTTGCCATATATAGAAATAGGATTGAATAGACTTGCAGCTCTAATGTTTTACATTGTTTCATTTGTGAATGAGTTGTTTTTCTACATAGTTCTATATTTGTAAATTCAATTTTTATGATAAAGAGATTACACTATAGTACTTGTATTAGGTGAATTAAAATATTATTTTCTTTTTTAAAATGCATATATTTGTAATTAAAACAAAGTGAACACTGCATGTCTTTAAATATATTTAAAAATGAAGAAAACAATAAAAATATTGAAATGTCTATTATTGTTAACAGCGTGATTAGCTGCACAACTAATTGCACGATTCATCAAATTTAATTCTTAAAACCATGATTAATTTTGTTAATCACATTTTTTTCAATCACTTTTTTCAATCACTAGCCTTGTTGTAATAAAAGGGCATTAGTAATTACTCCAGTATGGAATTTAGGTACTTTTCTGGTATGTATGTTTTCAGACTCCAAAATGGGTTGTTTTAAGAATTTCAACTCCTATTCTGCAAGAAACTCAAAAAGTTAAATACCCTAGAAACAACATGTTAAGGAATTTCTGTAGTTGAGAAATTCTGATATATAACATTTATATATGTAGATATAGATAGATAGGTATGGATATAAAATAAAAAATGTGTGTAATAAAGCTGTTCCATAAGAAATTTCAAATTTTCACCATTTTTATCCCAAATTGAGATCTCAAAATATTGAACATTTTTATCAAGCTGAAAATTTAAAAAAATTTCATTTAAAAAATATTGAACAATTTGGTTTTAACATTTTTGATGTTCACAGTTGTTTGAACATTTGGTTTTAACATTTTTTATGTTCACAGTTGTTTTAATTGAATTTCAGCCGAACTGCCTAAGTTTCTGTAGTATCTCATGTTTCCATTCTGCTGGGATCTCTGGGCAGACTAAATCTCTGAGGCCAGGTCTATATTAGGGGATAAATTCAAATTAAGATATGCAGCTTCAGCTATGTTAATTGTAACTTAAGTTGAAGTATCTTAACTCAAAGTACATTCTCCCTTTGACTTCCCATACTCCTTGTAGAAGCAGAACCACCGGCATCAACACCCTCTTAGTTTAAATTAGCATGTCTTCACTAGTCCCACTAATTCGAACCCTGGAACATCAACTGCAGCTGCTTCGATCTTATCTGTAGTGTAGACATGGCCTGATAAACCACCATATCAGTTAAACCAGGTGGGAGACCATAGAGCATGATGGGAGATGTAGTCCAGCCAGAGAACTAGCCCATATTGGAGAATAAATTACCCAAACTACAACTCCCACAAGATACACAGCAGCTCAGGTGATCACAGATTAATGAAGAGCTGACCTGAAAATAAATATTTCTATTCCTTGTGGCATATCAAAATATTTAGATTCTATTTGACCTAACCCCAAGCAAAATATTTAATTCCCATTTTCATGATAATGAGCTCATTATTCTGGCAAAATCAAAATTTACTGATGGAAATTTTTTCATCAAGAAAATATTTCAGCAGAAAACTCCAAAACAGCTCTAAAGTGCTGGTAATTTGCCACCCTTTCCCCAATATCCATGGTTAGATATTGACCCCTTTAATCCATTTTCCTTTTAGGAACAATGTTTAAAGGAATGTATTAAGAGATTAGCTACTCTTAGACCTCATTCTATCCCTTCTAACAGTCTTCATTCATCACAAAATTAATTAAGGGTAATTATTAATGATTTTCTTCAGTCTTTGCAATTAACACCACACCTCAAATTGGTTCAGTGCAGGGAAAGTGAGACATTTCTCATTTTACATCTCCCTAGTGATGTAAACTGGCAGGAGAGATAACAGCATGCCTTAAACTTGTTAATGCTAAATACCCAAATCTTTGGATACAAATTAGTCAGAGGTGCCATGAAAACCACTAAATCACTTGTCTTTAAAATTCCATTGTGTTGAATCATGGTTTTGCATGATTAAATTTACTGTTATTACATGTATACTTCAGGCATGAAATCATTTTCATATTGCCATGGGATGATACTTAAGGCAGGAGCTCGACTGAATTGCCAGCTTGTTTATTATTATTATTATTATCATCAGTATTAGGAATAGAAAAATGTATATTGTGGTAGAACCCAAAGGCCCCAGCTGGCAGGCAGTCCTCAGACTTACAACACAATTAGCTCCTGAAAATTGTATCATAAGTTGAAAAGTCGTAACTCAGAAATGCAATCCACTCCATTGTGGGACCAAGTCTCATAAACTCAAAACCAACCTTGTAGTCAAATTAGGTTTGTAAAGTTGAGGACTGCCTGTACTACATCAAATAACCAAGTCCAGATAGTGAGCCTAGGGAATCTTCAAAAGTGGCATAGTGTAAATCTGAGATGACACTAACAAATGATCAAACTCAGCCCTTGTTTACAATGTGGTCCATAGTTTGTGGTTGGTATCCAGTGTTATATTTGTCATCTCTCATCTCTCAGGCTATGTCTAGACTGCAAGCCTCTTTTGAAAGAGGCTCTTTCGAAAGTATCTTTCGAAAGAGCGCGTCTAGACTACACTTTCGAAAGAAAGCACCCAGCGAGTCTGGATGCTCTCTTTCGAGGAATCCCTATTTACATTCAAGAACGCCTTCTTTCGAAAGAGAAACTTTCGAAAGAAGGCGTTCTTCCTCTTAGAATTAGGTTTACCGCCATCGAAAGAAAAGCCGCGTTCTTTCGATTTAATTTCGAAAGAATGCGGCTTGAGTCTGGACGCAGGTGAAGTTTTTTCGAAAAAAGGCTACTTTTTTCGAAAAAACCCCTGAGTCTGGACACAGCCTCAGAGGTGTAAGACATGACTGCATCTGCCATGTGTCATTTGGAAACAATTCAATGTGGACCGCAGTTCCACATAGGTTAAAGACTGAAAGTTCTTTTGTGAGGTTGACAATCAAGTGTTTGTTATGGTCATTAATATTATCCCACTATTCTATCCAGGGTGCTTCAAGATTATGTGAAGATACTTTAAGAGCATTAGCCTGATCCAAAGAAGGTTTTCCAGCTTTCTCGCATGTCTTCAGAATATACTGGAGGCCCTCATGATTTGGCAAGTTATGGTTGGCCATGGTTCAGTTGTAATCAGGATCCATCTATGTTTCTTGAGACTTTGGATGGGGGTGTATGTGCCTGAGTGAATTGAATAGGTATTTATTTTAACGTTCCAGTTATGAATCTTGCCATAGCATTCTGTGCACATCCAGAGATTTGGAATATGAGCTGCTCACACAAACTGTTGTGCAGTTGTGCAATATTCAGCAGTTTCATATACAGATACTAGAGTCACTGATTGAAGTGTATGTACACCAGCACCCCATGTTATGCCCAAGAGCTTTCAGAAGTGGGTAGTTCTTGCTTTACCTTTCTGCATGTCTCTTCCAGGTGAGCTATAAAATTCAATCTTCTGTACAAGGTGACATCCAAGTACTTCAGATAAGCCTCATTTTGGACCAATTGGTGACAAAAGGTGATATTAACTAGGTGACTTTGTTGTTAAGGTAAAAGAATGTTATAAAGATTTTGGAGGTTTTGGGGTGGAGTTTCCAGCATTAAAAATAACCTGCCATTGGTCAATGGAGAGGATATCCCAAATGGTGATGAGGCCTTTGCCTTGTACCATGGGTAAGGGTGGAGAATGAGGTATGCAGTGTGAAGTTAGAAAGAGATGGTTCAGACGGAGACATGATGGTGGGAAAAAGGGGGAGAGGTGGAAGGAGTGGAGATGGAAGGAGGATTGAGGCTGAGGGAAGCAGTGTATAGATGTGAGCCTGTAAGAGGGAGTATAAGCTTGCTATTTAAGTCAATGGTGATATATAGAAAATGAGAGGTGATCATGCCAGTGGGAAAAGGGATTATGGAAGAGAAGAGGGTAAAAAAGATGAAGCAAAGGAAGTCTGTGGCAGGCATGAAAATAGCAGTAGAAGATCATGGCAGGATGAGAACAGTTATTGAGGAAGAATTAGTCAATGAAGAGGAAACTGTAGAAGTCTCATAGACTCTTAGACTTTAAAGTCAGAAATGACCATCATCATCCAGTCTGATGTCCTGAACATTGCAAGTTACAAAAAATTCACCATTTACACATGTGTAAACCTGCAAGTGACCCTTGCTATCTCTGTCAATCAGATTTCAGGGAAAATGTCTTCCTCATCATAGATATGGTGATTAGGTAGACCCTGAGTACATTGGCAAGACTCACCAGGGAGAGACTACAGAGCACTTTTGTTTAGGTAACCTAGAGGTCTCACCGTCCAGTGCCCCATTTCTGGCCATTGGGGATTTTTGCTACTGGCAATCACTAATGGGCCACATGCCATTGTAGGCCATCCCATCATATCGTTTCGCCTATAAACTTTTCAAGCTCATTCTTGCAGCCAGTTGGACTTTTCCCCTACTGCTCACCTTGGAAGGCTGTTCCAGAACTTCACTCCTCTGATGATTAGAAATCTTTGCTAATTTCAAGCCTAAATTCCTTGAATGGACAGATTATATCTTTTCATTTTTGTATCAATTTTGGCGCTTCCTCCTTGGTATTTATCCCTCTGATGTATTTACAGAAAGCAATCATATCTCTCATTAATTGACTTTTGGTTAGGCTAAACAAGCCAAGTTCTTTAAGTCTCTTCTAATAAAGTAGGTTTTCCACTCCTCCAACCATCCTACCAACCCGTCTTTGTTTTTGCAGTTTGAATTTATCTGTCTTAAATGTGGGTGACTAGAGCTGCACAGAGTTTTCCTGTCTCTACTGAAAATACCTCACCTAAGACATCCTCGGACTTCAGTAGCCTTTTTATCAGTGGCATAATAGTCATCTTGCGATCAACCAATACACCACGTTCTCTTTTCCTCTGTTGCTTTCAATTGATAAGTTCCCATCTTATAGCAAAAATTCATGTTATTAAACCCTACATAAATTACCTT